ACCGAATTTTTCAACTCAAATACATAAAGTGCATTAGAGACAAAGCCTTCTTCACTTCCAATATGGCATATAATGAGCTGTTTTTACGCACATACCTGATGGGTTTTTAAAACCAGTTAAAAGTTCATCCAAAAAGGCTTGTCTGGATGAAAAGACCGACATATCGAAACATACTTTTGATTTGGTGTGGCCTGCGTTAATCCAAGTCTCATCAAGATAATATATTTTTTGCTTTTCTTCTCTGTACCGTTTTATTTTTTGTGGCGTAGGACGAAACAATTTCATTTTTGTCTAAAAGCAAACTATTTTTTCCTCGATTTTTAAATTTAAAATTAAGGGTTTTGAAAAGCTTGTAAAATGTAGCTCGCTTAAAAGTAGACAAATATGGATCATCGTTGACTTCTTATAAAACCTTATCAATTGTTGAAAGTTAATTTCTAAAGAAGAATTGATGTACTTTGCGCCTTATTGCATTTTTATCAAAATCATCCACAGAGCCACTAATTTGTTTATAACGTAGCTTTCTCTTTGGTTCAGAAAATTTATGAATCTGCCTATACTCCTTCATAACATTAAAAACGGTTTTAGCGCACATCCCTGTTTTATCAGCAACTACACCAACGGACACCATACCTTTCATTTTGCCCGGTGTAAAATCCACTAACCTTTCGATCGACGTTGTGGTGTCTACTGGTAGATACTTCCTCCACCAGTTAATTAGCAGAAGTGAATTACACTCGACATGTGTATAAGGAATATGGAGGGAAGTAAACTAGGTAAATAAGGGTGTGTACCTGGTGTAATTTACACTGGTGGACACTGCACCAACAGCGAACGTAAGAACCTATAATATCGCTCCTTTTTTTATAGCAGGGACAGAAGTTGGAAAGGCTTTTGGTAGGTAGAGAGGTGGTAAACGACAAACCCGGTTGGGGTAATGTTTGAGGGTCATTGTCGTCTCATAGAATAAAAATAATACCAAACATTTTAAATTATTACCAGCGGAATCGATCAAACGTATCTATTTATTGGCTGCAAATAATTATTTAAACAAGCAGTAATATCCGAAATCCTAATTCTACAAAATTTCGAGAGCTATTCACAATTTATTGAACTATTTACGCGAAATTATTAATAGCATTTCTAAAATTTTGAACAATTGTTTCGGAAAATACAATTTGACGACTCTAGGGAAGAATCCCCAGGTGCACCCCACGGTTCGGCGGCATTGTTAATAAGCAATGTATGCTCTTTTGACTCTGTTTTCTAAGTGTGAGTTCCATGTTAACTTGTTATTAACCTCTGTTGCAAAGTTTTGTTTTGTGTTTAAGATTTCTGGACGTTGTAATTCCATTTTCATCCTTTTCCTTTTGAAAAGGAGCATTTCTGTCTTCTTGGCAGTGAATGGTCCTTTCACCACTGTTCCATAATTGTTCTCAAAATTCCCTATTTGCAGAATGACCAGGGACCTATTCATTAAAACTAATTTGCAACTTTGTACTTTGCATATTTTACTAAATTTATGTTTAATAAAGGAGAGTCATGATGAATTAAAAAGTAAAATTTGAAACAGTTTAAAAATTGAAAAAGAAAAATTAATAATCTGCAAAGTTAACGATATTATTTTATGAAACACAAATATTTTGTTCTCGTAAAATGGCAAAGTGCAAAGTGAGAAGTTGCAAAGTAGTTTTATGAAATAGGTATCTGGTTATCTGCTTACGCTATTGTGTAGTGACTGTCATTATTGTATCTACCTTATTTCGGTATTAAAATAATCTATTTTACATAATGAACATAGTAAGAATTTTCTGTCATTGTTACTTTAGTATGTGTTTAATTCTTATGAACCAAACGACAAAAATTGATTAATTTTCCTACGTTTCTCAGTGTATTAAGTTTTCATGCTTTGGTATATACAAAAACTTATTCAGTTTCGCTTCGTCTTGGGTATGTATTCTTTGGTGGAAGCCGTGGCTTTTACGAATTTAAGGTATTAGATGATCGAAAACAGCGCGCGAAAATAAATTTTAATCTGCTCATGAGTAAGATAATTATATTTCACACCACAATACGTCATGCGCGAACTCAACGAGATTTCGTCGGCTAAGTACCATAACTCTGTAATTTTTTGTATTATGGGTTAGCTCCCCGCGGCAAAGCAGTAAAATTCTGCGTATGAAGTGAGAGAACTAACAAGAGCAAAGAATACCTAACCAAGAAGCGAAACTGAATGAGTTTTCATATATGCCAAAGCATGTGAACTTAATACACTGGGAAATGTATGAAAATTAATCAATTTTTGTCGTTTGGTTCATAAGAATTAAACACATACTAAAGTAATAATGACATAAAATTCTTACTATGTTCATTATGTAAAATAGATTATTTTAATAAGGTAGGTACAATAATGACAGTCACTACACAATAGCTTAAGCAGATGATCTGGTCATTCTGCAAATAGAGAATTTTGAGAACATATGGAACGCAGTGATGCAAGGACTATTCACTGTCTATCAATCCTAAGAAGACAGAAATGGTCCTTTTCACAAGGAAAAGGATGAAAATGGAATTAAAACATCCAGAACTCCTAAACATAAAACAAAACTTTGCAACTGAGGTGAAGTAGGTACCTAGGTAGCCCCTGTGACAACAAGTTAACATGGAACTCACACTTAGAAAAGAGAGTCAAAAGAGCATATATTGCTTATGAACAATGCCGCCGAACCATGGGGCGCACATGGGGTTTCTCCCCCAGAGTCACCACAGGACCTACATGGCCATCTTAAGACTTATGCTAACATACGGTGCAGTTGTCTGGGTACCGAAAATCCAAAAATTGACAGCTATCCTCAATCTAGAATAAATTCAAATAACAGTATGTCTCAACATAACAGAAGCCATGAAAACCACACTAACCAGAGCCATAGAAGTCGTTCTTAGTCTCACTCCCCTTGATATTTACATCAAAGAGGTTGCTCTGATGACAATGACACGCCTCTACACGGTTGGAATAGAACCTGATGTACGATGGTGAGGCGAGACGTTGCTTTTGGCAAAAGGTGCTCGATACGCTCCCACTGCTTCAAGCGAACATGAACTTCATCTCACCGAGATACATCTTCCATAAGCCATATGAAGTTATAACAGAACCAATAGAAGAGTCGGAAGTGGCAGGTACGATTCATATCTACACCGACGATTCTAAAACAAAACATGGCTCAGGATGTGGAATATACTCCAATTCCTTAAACCTCAACATAAAATGGGATGTGAGTAATAGTGTCAATGTAGTTCAAACCGAGCTCACGAAGATTCTCATAGCAGCAAAAGAAATCACCAGAAACAATATCACTGGAAGAAACATGTTCATCTATACAGATAGCAAATAAGCACTACCTACCCTGAACAGATTACGAATTTACTCAGGGTTAGTACTAGAATGTCACGAAGCTTTGGCAAGAGTATCCATCAACAATGTGGTCCACCTTCGTGCTGATTCACTAGCCAATAAGGCAGTCAACCAAACACTTTTTGGACCTGGCCCTTCTATTGGACTGACAACATCGGTAGTGATATACCTAAATAAAGAACATTCCCTTGTGAAATTCAAGAAAAGATGGGATGAAACAAGAAGCTGCAGAGTTGCCAGGAAGCTTTTAAGTTATACTGACATCATTACAGCAAACAAATACTTGACTATGACTAGACATAATCTGCGCCTGATCACAGTCATTCTGACTTATCATTGCCAAGTACGGAAGCGTCTCCATATCATGGGGTGCGAACAAGAAGATGAGACCATTGAGCATATCCTCTACGATTGCCCGACGCTCTCCATTTATTAGAAGATTTTTTTCGGCGAGTATTGACGACGTTGTCAACTACCTTAAATCTGTAGGCTGGCTCTGGAGCTAGGAGGTACCTATCATCTTGGGAGGATACACAATGGGCCTAGTGAGGTCTAAGTTCCGTGGGGTATAACTCACCCTCCACACGTTACATATCCAAAAGTACTGTAAGTAGCTGTAAGTGCATTTCGATTGCATCCTGATAGCAGCGACTTGGTTCTTTGGAGTGAGTTTGACATATATTTTAATTATTGCTTTGTATTATTTTTATTTACTGTTTTAAGTCGAATGGTTTTAATAACAAAAAAAAATATTTTAAATAAAATACTAAGAAATTAAACGATGCATAATAGGTAGGCGTAAATTATTACTATAGGTAATATACTAATTTAGAAATTTTAAAAATAAAACATTTACAGTCGGATGCAAGAACGTTCAATAAACTTTACGAACAACGCAATGTATTTTTTTTTTTCATGTAATAAAAATCTTAAAACTATCTAATTTCTAATTACTACTTAGTTAAATACCTAACTATAGTGCAATTTTCACAGAACGCTAATAATAATATACCAAACGTTGCTCTACATAAATTGACAGATATAATTAACGTTAAATCACCTCTAAAACACTGTGAAAACAGTTTTTGTCCATGAATCACCCATTTAGTTTCGCATCTTGCAGTCTCGGCTAAGAAAGCTATTATTTACCTCGCACATTATATCCCTCGGCGCTACGCGCCTCAGGATATAAAAGTGCTCGGTAAATAATAGCTCACTTCTCACCCTAGGTATATAATGTACTATTTAATAATTGCTCAAAATTGTATATCAACTAGGAATATGAATAAACAAAAAATATACAAAATGTGTAAAAGACTGACATAATCACCCTGTAAAAGAAAGTCGATTAAATTCACAAAATTTCCTGTGTTATAGGCAACCAATAATACACATTATTAATATACGATATTTGGCTAATTCAAACGATTTAAAATGCACTTATTAAAAAAGTTCAAATCTAGATTATTATATAGGTAATAAAAAAGTAAATATTGGGAGACATCCCCAAAATTATCGAATTTAAACACTCTCAAATTTGTATGTAGTGTATCTATGACGTCAATTGGTTGTGACGTAAATGAGGAGCGAAATCTACAAGCAGAAATATGTACTAAAATTTAGTAGTTTTGTAGATCCTTTGGTAAATGTTCTGTGTTTTTATATGTGGCGATGACGGATTAAGAAAATTTGGTGAAAATGTCGGGAAAAACCTATCCAGTCGACAAATTAGTGCGTGTAGGTTATTATGAACTTGAAAAAACTATAGGAAAAGGCAATTTCGCCGTAGTCAAACTGGCCACTCACATTGTCACACGAACCAAGGTTTGTAAAGGATCTCTATCAACATCTCAAATGTCAAAATGCATGTATTTTTTACATATTTTCTACATTTTGTCGCAGTTCCCAGTAAAAATATCAAAGACAATTCCTGGAATAACAGCTGATTTCATTTGGTAATTTTCAAAAGTCTCAACTGCGTTGATAACATTAAAAATTATCTTTGTTTAGTAATGAAGGAAACAAATGTCTAGTTCATTTTAAAGACAACATAATTTAACTATTTTGTATATCAAAAGAATATTAACTAAATTTATTTACACTTCGCTAATTTGTTAAACAAATATTTGGAGGTTATGTATCTACAATGTACAATATCAAGGACAAGTTGATTTGGATTCTGGAAAACATATATTTTAATTAATTAGTTGGTATTAATCCTTGCTTGGAAATAATAAAAAAGGTTTTTAAGTTACTTAAGCTGATTCATCATAAGTTAAAAAGATTAGCCATCCAGAAATTTACATGACTTAAAATAGGTTTAAGTAGGTCTTCTGGTAAGAATTTTATGTTGATATTACAAATAGTTTGCAATACATAATGCATTATTTGTCTAGTAAAAGTTTACCTTTATAATCTTGTCAGTAAACAAAAATATATAAGAACTAGGCACTGCCAATTATCTTAATAAAATAAAAAAAAAATAATAAAAGTACCTACCTACACGGCTATACTTGATGCACTGAATTCTCATTATTAATTACTGTAATTATTCTAGTTTTTAAGAACATTTATTAAAAAAAGGCAAATATCTAGGTAGTTTGATCTCTTTTCATTTATGAAAAAAACCTAAGCAACTTGCAGGTATCGCCATGGTAAACAAAAATCCTAAATTCCAAATTTTGTGCAAATTAATGACAATTTTTTAAACTAAAATTAACCTTTGTTTTCAATTTTATTAATATTAACAATTTTACAAGAACGGGAGTGGGTAGGGGTGCTGAGTGGGTAAAACAACAATAGTTATATATTTATAAAATAAAATATTGTTAGGAAAATTATTAGAAATTATTTGGTGTAGTATTTACAATAAATACCTAATAGGAACTTTTTATGCAACTTGGCAAAAGTGTAAGACTACTCTTAAGTCTCATACCTATTTTTATCAAATCATGTCCTATTTTTAGTGGAGATCTAAAAAAGGTCCTCCCCTTATAATTTATAAAACAAGTCCTTTTTATGGGGAGCTCTGAAAAAAGGGCTTGTAACTTTAAATTTAAAAAGCATTGCTTTTGAGTAAAATGTGAAGCATTTAGGTGAAAAGCATGGCATTTTCTTACTTTGGCCTGATGCGTGCCAGCAAGTGAAAAAACTGGTCATTTACCCCTAAAGCTGGATTTTAAAAAACTGGGACATTCCATTTTTTAAATAAAAATCATATACCTACTTAGGTAGTACACTTTCAAAAATCTGTATTTATCTTTAAAGTTATTATAACATTATTTTTGTTACTAGTAATATAAATAGATTAGAAATATTAAATTTTGTTTACCTTTTTTTCGCAACATGTAACATTTGTATGCCAAAGAAGGTAGAAGAGTACCTAGGGAATTTTGAGTTTAGGTTTTAACTCATATATGCCATATTTTTAGGCTATTTTTATACCCTATTCAAAAATCGTACGCTCCTCACTTTTTTTTACAAAAATCAAGGTGCTCTCTAGCTTTGAACAAAGCCAGCTATGCACTCCAGTTTTTTTTTATTTTTTTCTCAAAATAACAACAGCATATTTTTAGGCTTCTGAAATATACAATTTTTCGAAAAAAAAAAAATATTTTTGCTAACTTCAAATGAAGCCAGAGTACCTTAGGTTTTTTCAGTGCTTTTTTTAAATAATATGTAGTGCTTCGCTAGAACGAAGCCACCAGAGCACCTCGGTTTTTAAAAATAGCAATTTTTTTCAAAAAGTTTTACATTTCAATAGCTGACAAATATGGCATATTTGTTTAAAAAAAACTGATAGCTCTACTGGATTCGTTCTAGCAAAGTACCCTATATTATTTAAAAATAGCAATTTTTTTAGAAAAGTTTTTTAATTTCTCAAACGCATAAAAATGTGGTGTGGTTGTTTTGAGAAAAAAAAAAACTGCTGGCTTCCTTCGAGGTTAGCAGAGCACCCCGTATTTATAAAAATAGTCATTTTTTCGAAAAGCATTATAATCCTATTAAGTTGAAAAATGACAAAAATTGATATATTAAGAATATATGAATAAGCAGTTAATTAAACACTAATGAAAAAGTCAGGTCAACAAACAAACTAATTTTGTTGTTCTTGACAATCGTCGGCCATTTTGACAGGACGTTATAGCATAGCATAAGTAGAAGTTGGAAAGGCTTTTGGTAGGTAGAGAGGGGATAAACGTTAAACCACGTCGGACGGCTTCGAGAATTTCGGAGTAATGTTTACCTGCCAGTGTCGTTTCATAGAATAAGAATTGTAAATTTTTACTGGCGGAACCGGACAATCGCATGTATTTATGGACTACAAATAATTTTACAAAATTTCAACAGCTATTCACAATTTATTAAACTATTTACTCGAAATAATTTTGTACGCCTATGTATCGCGTCCACTTCGGTTAGATCCGCCGAAAACTTGTCAATTTATGTGTATAAAGTGGGAGAACCCGGAGAAGCCTTTCCAACTTCTACTTGTGCTATACATTTTATCAGTGGAACATAAATTACGTCACTACTAATATAAGCAAATTTAATTTTAAAAATTATGTATTTTTATTAACAGTAAATGTATCACATTAATATGTGGAACTTATTGATTTTGGGTTTCATTCTTTTGAAGAAAACTGACAACATTTAAGAATATGCATAATTTATCATTCTAAATTTATGTTTAGTTTAACTCCCAATTATTTGCTGATTTTAATTCCCATATTTATTTATTTATTTATTTATTTCCTTTCTTTTTAAGGCTATTTTTAGGACCTTAAGATATTATAAAACTATTTCTAAAAAATACAGCAGAGCAAAAAAGTATTTTTCAAAAATAGCCAATTTTATTAAAATGTTTAATATATTTCAAGCGCCTAAAAATGAGGTGTAATTATTTTTAGAAAAAACTTGCTGGGTTCGTTCGAAGCTAGCAAAGCACCGCGTATTTTAAAAAAATATCAATTTTTTTCGAAAAGCTTTATAATATATTAAAAATCAAAATATAGCCTAAAAATGTGGCCACTGTTTAAAAAAAAATTAAAACCTAGGTGCTCTGCTGGCTTCTTTCTAGCAAAGCACCCTATATTATTTAAAAATTTCAATTTTTTAGAAAAGTTTCATACTACTTCAAGAGCCTAAAAAAAGCCTAAAAATGTGAAAAAAAAAACTTAAAAAATCGGAGGTTCTCTTCTGACTTCGTTTGAAGCTAACAAATCACAAAATATTTTTTAAAAATATAATTTTTTTCGAAAAGTTGTATAACACTTTGGGATCTTAAAAAAGACTAAAATTATAATGTGGTTCTTTTTAGAAAATAACTTTGAAGTCCGCAAGGAATCGCGTTTTTTTAAACAGCAAATGAGTCTAAATTAATCTAAAAATGTGGCATAGTTGTTTTTAAGAAAAAGCTAAAAGACTGAGGTGCTTTATTGGCCTCTTTCGAAGCTAGCAAAGCACCCCATACTTTTAGAAATAGCAATTATATCAAGAGGCAAAAATTGTCTAAAAGTGTGGCATAGTGGTTTTTTTATAAAAAAAAACAAATTAAAAAAACAAGGTGCTCTGCTGACTTTGTTCCGAGCTTTGTTCCAACAAAGCACCCTGTATTATTTAAAAACAGCATTTTTTTTATAAAAGTTTTATAATATTTCATGAACCTAAAAATGTGGTGTGGTTGTTTAAAAAAAAATTAATAAACAGGTACTCTGCTGACTTTATTTAAAAATAGCAATTTTTTAGAAAAGTTTTATAATAATCTCAAGAGCCTAAAAATGTGGTGTGGTTTTTAGGAAAAAGCTTTAAAAAACCGACGTGCATTGCTGGCTTTATTCAAAGCTAGCAAAGCACCTGTTTAGAAAATACATTTTTTTTCTCGAAAAGTTTTATAATATTTTAGGAGCCTAAAAATAGCCTTAAAATGTGGTATAAGTAGTTGTTTTCAGAAAAAAAAAAATAATAAACGGAGGTGCTCTACCGACTTTGTTCCAACACAGCACCCTGCATTATTTAAAAATATCAATTTTTTTAGAAAAGTTTTATAATATTTTAAGAGCCTAAAAATAGCCTAAACATTTGGTGTGGTTGGTTTTAGAAAAAAGCTTTAAAAAACCGAAGTACTGTGCTGGCTTCGTTCGAAGCTAGCAAAGTACCCTGTATTTTTTTTTTGAAAAATACTGATTTTTCGAAAAGTTTCATAATATTTTAGGGAAAATAAAATAAATATAACTCAAAGCCAGTAGGTATCACATAAATACGAGCGACCGTTTCCCGTCAGAAAACAACTACTCCTTTGGCTAGTACCGCAACAAGTATTGAATGATATCCAAAGGAAAGATAGCAGAGAAGAAAATTCTTCAAATAAAAGTTACTTCTAATACTATCTATAATTTTTGTTTTATACAAAATTTTCCTAAAATGATTTTTGTAAAAAACAAGGAACATAACATTTAAATAGGGTATAAGAATAGTCTTAAAATAGCCTAAAAATATGGCATATGTTTCAACTCAAAATTTCCTTTATTGGCATGCTTCGGACGAAGCCAGCAGAATGCTTTTAATTTTTTTTTTCTTTCTAAAAACAATTACACCACATTTTTAGGCTATTTTAAGGCTTTTGAGATATTATAGAATTTTTTTTTTTAAATATGCTAACTTCATACCTCAGGTTTTTAAAGTTTTTTTATGAAAACCTCACCACATTTTTAGGCTATTTTTAGACTCTTGAGATATAAAACTTTTCTAAAAAGTTGCTATTTTTAAATAATATAGAGCGCTTTGCTTGAACGAATCCAGTAGAGCACTTCGGATTTTTTTGT